CTTTCATTGCTGGTTCCATCTTGTCATTTGGTTCTTCGCTCAAACGCTGCCTTCTCAATAAGGCTCTTTCTTATCACCCTTTCTAAATTACCCCATTCTCCTCAGCTATTAATCACATCAGAGCTCTTACAGGCCTGCAGGTGGCATGGTGGTTAAGGATGCTGGACTCCCACATGGCTGACCATGGTTCAAGTCCTGGACCTGGAGGCTTGCTCTCTCACTTTCCCTCTCTCTCTCTTGCTCTGTCCCTCACTGGTCAAATTTTTTAAAAATGAAATAAATGAATGAGTAAATAAAGCTAAATAAAATAATTCTTTAAAAAAGAATCACATCAGTGCTCTTAGCAAAGTTGAAAGTATCTTGTTGGATTTGTATTGTGCTTATTCAAATGGCAGATTTGTAAGGATTTTTATTATTTACTGTGTCAAATGGATCAACGAATAGTCACTGCTTCTCTTGAGAAAACCTGTATATTGTTCAGATGAAATTTCAACACATGAACACATAAAGCACATGCAGGTCAGTGACAAGGAGCAAATGGAGGCTTGATTATCTTTGTAAAAGTACAGGGTGGGAAGGACCAGCAGATGGCATAATGGTTACATCACTGCACTTCCACATAGTCAATCGCAGTTCGAGTCCCAGACATGGTGGCTTAAACTCATCTTGGGTACATGTGCACCCAAAATCTCAAGAGGAGAATGGAGAAGGGATTGCAGTGTGATTTCTCGCTTTCTGTCTCTTTGTCTCTCTCTGGTGAGTGCACACACCCTATAGCAAAAATATCTCTCACAAAAAAAAAAAAAATGGTACAGGGTTGGATGAGGGAGCTAGAGAACTTTATAAACAAACACACTCTCTGAACCAAAAGTCAGCATTGGCTGTGAATAGCAAGATGGATTATCAGTGGAAAGACCTCTGTTTTTAACCTCCATTTACAGTTAATCTTTTTTCAATGAGATAGGGAGAGATAAAGATAGGGGTAGTCTTGACAGGGTCTCACCACATTGTGGTCCTCCTGCACCAGCCTCCCTACTAGTTAGGATTACAGGTGTGAGCCACTACGCCTGGCCTGTTTAGGTGGGTCCAGGAACCAAATATACATATACATGTATATGTATATCTGTGTGTGTGTGTGTGTGTGTGTGTTTAAGATTTTGGCTATAGGGCACATGCACTTGCTGGAGACAGAGAGAAATAAAGAGACAAAAAGTGATAAATCAACTCTAGGGGGGATAGCCACACCACAATTCCTTCTCCTCCATTCTCCTCTCAGGATTTTGGGCAAGCACGCACACGTGCCCAACATGAGTTTTAAACTACCAGGTCCATGACTTGAACTGTGGTCAACTACATGGGAGTCAAGCAGGGTAATTATTACTCTATCTTCTGGTTATTTTTTATATTTTTAACTATTCAGTTAGCCAATCTGGTTTCTCATCTCTAGGTCTTCTTTTTTAAAATATATTCTTCATTTTGATGAAAATCTTCATTATGATCATCTTGACTGGATCTAACATTAACAAAAAAACCTCCAGGAGTCAGATGGTGGAACGAAAATAAAATGCAACATTTTGCAAGGCAGACCCACAAAAAGGGATGCTGGTTTGAATCTGGAGACCTCCTGTAGCGCACTAGGCTCTTTAGTGTCTATGATCTGGGCTAGCTGAAGCTAGAAGTAGATTGTGGTGTCAAGTCCCTGTTAGAGGTGCTGTGTCTCTGACTCTGTCACTCTGTCTGTCTCTCTCATAGAATAAATAAATAAACTTAAGAAGACAATTTCCTGGGGCCAGCAAGTAGTGTGGTAAAGACACTAGACTCCCACATGGCCAACTACTATTTGAGTCCCAGACCTGGTGACTTTCTCTCTCTTTCTCTCTCTGTCTCTCTACAGTGAGCACACATGCCTTATAGCAAATTTAAAATAATAATAATTAAATAATTGGGAACCAGCAGTTAGCATAACGGCTATGTCGCTGGATTCCCACGTAGTCGACCGCGGTTCACGTCCCAGACCTGGTGGCTTAAAACTCACGCCGGGCGTGTGTGTGTGCGTGCCCAAGATCCCAAGAGGAGAATGGAGGAGAAGGGATTGTGGTGTGACCATCACCCCTGGGGGGTGATTTCTCACTTTCTGTCTCTCTGTCTGTCTCTGTCTGTCTGGCGAGTGCATGCACCCTATAGGGAAAATCTCTCAAAAAAAATAAATAATTAATTAAATTAAATGGAATACTTCCTTAAAAAAAGAAAGGAAGAAAGAAAGATAGAGAGAAAGAAGAAAGAGAGAGAAAGGAAAATAATCTAATGACACGTATCCAGGTGATGTGAGCTTTGAGAAGAAGACAGAACCAAAGGTCAGGTGACCCAGATTACAGGTCCTACATAAGTCCTGTGAATAAGAATATGGGGTCAGCAGGTGCTGTGGTGGTTATCCCTCTCTTTCTCTCTCTGCCTCTCTCTCTCCCCCACGCCCAGTCAAATTAAAATAAAGTTAAATAATAAAAAATAATTATTTTAAAAAAGAATAAATAGAACATGTGTCAGCTACTGTTTTAGTGAGTTTCAATAGAGAATATTGAAAGTTTCTGTCTCTCAGGAGTTGCAGCATACTGGAGGATAGAGAGAGGGAGATAAAAAACATTTTTTTCATGTGCAGCTTTCTATAAAACTATGTGGGCATTAGACTAAATTATCTGTACAGTTTGTCCCAGTGCTACATGTTCTGAGAAGAGGAGAGAATATTTGGAAGCCTTAGCAGTGGTTATTTCTGGGGAGTAAAAGTGTGGATTTAAATTTTTTCGCTTTGTTTATCATCACTTTCTGATTTCTTTTCTATAATGAACATGCATTACATATGAGATGGAAAAGTGTTTAAGAAAAATTGTAGAGAGTTTTTCTTTCAGTCCTGGGAACAGGTTCCTAGTGACCGGAAGGTATGTCACTCATCCATTAGTAATGGGCGCTGTAACGGGAATTGTCTTACCCTTCCAGAGTCTCTTGTATTACTTTATCTTTGCCTAATGAGGCTTCAGGGAGACTGCTCAGGGAATCCTCCCCCCTTTTTCTCCTTACTGCTTCTCTTTTTCTTGAACACTTGAAACTCTACCTAGTAATGTTCAGGCACACCACACACACACACACACACACACACACACACACACGGTCTCTTCTCACCCTCCCACCTTCACATCTCAGCTCAATGTTACTTCCTCATAGAGGTCTGTCTTGAGCAATCTAACAAGTCCATTCCTACCTAATGACTCACCATACCATCCTGGTATTCTCTATCATATCTCTTTTCTTTGTCTTTCCAGAGCCCACGTGTTAGCTTATAATTTCTTATGTATGTTGTTTCTTATCAAGGTTATTATAAAGAAAAAAAATTTCAGAACCAGAAGGTGGTGTGGTGGGTAAGGCGCTGGACTCCCATGTGGCTGAGTCTCAGACCTAGCAGATTGAAAAGTATGCTGGGCACATGTGCGTGCATGCCCAAAATTCCAAGAGGAAAATGGAGGAGATAGAATTGCAGTATGCCCAATCCCCTTCCCCCTGTGGTTGATTTCTCACTTTCCCTTGGTCTTTCTGTCTCTGTCTCTCTGGCAAGTGCACACACCCACAACCTAAAAAAACAAACAAACAAACAAACAAACAAACAAAAATCACATCAATCTAGTTCCTGTGAGTCTGAAGTTCCGCTGTGGAGAAGGGATGGTCTGTTGTGTTCACTGCCATATTCCTAGGGACCAGCACTGCCTATCACATCACAGGCCCTCAACTACTATTGAAAAGAAAATGAAAGAATGAATGAATGAATGAATGAATGAATGAATGAAAGAAATGACTCCTTGTCCTCTCTTTCATGAGTTTGATTCTCATGCAGTGGTATGCCACAGGTAAGCCCTCTGCCAGCTCAAAACACACCAATGCTAAATTTTCAAAAACTGGGGCCAGCAGGTGGCATGGTGGTTAAAGATGCTGGACTTCCACATAGCCAACCACAATTCAAGTCCTGAATGTGGTGGCTTGCTTTCTCACTTTCCCCTTCTCTCTCTGTCTGATCAAACTGGAATATAATAATAATAATAATAATAATTAATCATTATTTTTAAAAAGTTTTTCAGGCACTTTGCAAGTCAGTTGCTAAACTGATAATGTCTTGAAGCCATCATGGTGAGAGTGTTTTTTGTTTTGTTTTGTTTTGTTTGGAGAGGTTTTTGCTATAGGGCGCATGCGCTTACCAGACAGACAGAGACAGAGAAATAAAAAGCGAGAAATCACCCCCCAGGGGGGATGGACACGCCGCAATCCCTTCTCCTCCATTCTCCTCTCAGAATCTTGGGTACGCACGCACACGTGCTCGGCGTGAGTTTTAAGCCACTGGGTCCGGGACGCAAACCGCGGTCAACTATGTAGGAGTCCAGCAACATAGCCATTACGCTAATTGCTGGTCCCATGGTGAGAGTGTTTATACCATGAATATCAGCAGATGCCACATGTCACTACTCATTTTTAGGTCTAAAGACCTTGTTTACCAGGTGCTCTCACCTCCTAAATCCAAATTTAAATATTGAGATATCCCGGCAAAAACAGAATGCCTCATAGGTGACTTAAGATCTTCCAATAAAAATATATAATAATATAATAATAATAAATAAGTTAAATAAAATAATCAAAAGGGGGTTGGCAGGTAGTGTGGTGGTTAAAGACCCTGGGCTCCAATGTGGCTGACAGCAGTTCAAGTCTCATACCTGGCAGCTTACTTTCTCACTTTCTCTCTCTCTCCCTTCCTCTGGTCAAATTAAAGCAAATAATAATAACAAATAAGTTAAATAAAATAATAATAGAAAAATCTTCCAACAAAAAAGTGCTTAAAAATTCAAAAATACTAACTATATGCTATATAATCATTTACCTATTAGAAGTACTTCATCTTTTTTAAAGCTAAATTATGATCTAAAATATGCCTCTGATCACCTGAAGTTTTCGTTTCTGTTTTCCAGATCCTTATGTAAAGATTCATCTGATGCAGAATGGTAAGAGGCTGAAGAAGAAAAAGACAACAATTAAAAAGAACACACTTAACCCCTACTACAATGAGTCATTCAGCTTTGAAGTACCTTTTGAGCAAATCCAGGTAATGTCAAACATAATTTTGTCTTCCTATTCAATTTCATTCCTTTATTACATAAATTATACACACGGATCTTGTAAATTATCAGTGCACATGACTTCATTTGAACTGTCATTCTCATGTATATTTGATGCTTGAGCTACATCAAGAGGATGGGATAAAATATACAGCACAGGATGTGATGATTCATCACCCAAAAGCAGCTGGCATGCTGTTGAGCAAAATTAAAGTGAAAACGAAGAAAATGTTATCCAGCTCCATAAAGCAGCCGTTAAGGGACCAGGATCCCACATGGCCGTGACTCAAATCCCAGCCCCAGAGGCTTGAAAAGTACACAGTTCATATGCACATGGGTGCCCAAAACCCTGATGAAAGGAAGGAGAGAGCACACACACCCTCTGGCAATTACAAAAAGAAAAATGAAAATAACTTTAAAAAGTGTCTACAATATCCAGCAGGTGGTGTGGTGGTTAAGGCACTGGACTCCGACATGGCCATCCACTGTTCAAGTCTCAAATCTGGCAGCTTGTTTTCTCACTTTCTTTCTTTCTGTCTCTCTCATCACATGCCCTATAGCAAATTTAAAAAATAATAATAATAAATACAATAAAAACAATTCCTTTTAAAAAGTGCATCTACAAAGATGAAAAGCCAAGAGAAGATGAGCTTTTGCTACTCCCAGGCCATAATAAGTAATTCTCTTTATCACATATTAAGAGGGAAATAAAATTAAGAGATAACAGAAATATTTTTGGTTGATGCTCAATATGCAGCATCTTAAATTCTTATTAAAAGATGATTAACAATAGAGAAGTTAGGCTAAGTTGTATTTTTAGTTGTTTAAATTTAGCTCCCTGTGTCTGAGGTGGAATGGACAGGTATTTATTCGTAAAAATGGAATCTTAATTTGTGGGAACCAGCAGTTAGCATAATGGCTATGTTGCTGGACTCCCACGTAGTCGACCACAGTTCGCATCCCGGACCCGGTGGTTTAAAACGCACCCAGGTGCGTATGCATGCTTGCCCAAGATCCCAAGAGGAGAATGGAGGAGAAGCGATTGCGGTGTGACCATCCCCCCTGGGGGGTGATTTCTCACTTTCTGTCTCTATGTCTCTCTCTGTCTGGCGAGCGCACACACCCTATAGCAAAAATCTCTCCCAAAAAAAAAAAAAATGGAATCTTAATTTGTTAGACTATAATTGTTACAGCAGGAAGTATCCTATCAAAAGGCATTGTGGTTAACATGTTCAAAATAAAGTTCTACATGTAGCCACAATAATAGCATGTGATCTTATTATTTAGCATTTTTTTTAAATATATGTAAATTTTCTTATCCTATTTCCACAGATAGACTATCAAAATCTAAACTTCACATCCAATAAATATGGACTATTTCCTGCTAATCTTTAATGGGTTTCAGAGGTTCAAATTCCTTAAAACAGCACTACTTTTACATTTTATTAAATAATCAATATGGATCTATCTGTTCTGTGATATAAAGTTTGCCCGTGGGCTAGCATGGGGCAGAGGAAAGTTAAGGCAGCTGGATCCCTCATGGTCAGCTGAGTGGTTATAGTCTTGGACTCAACAGCTTGAAAATTATGCTGGATATGTGTGCATGCATACCCAAAAATCCCAAGAGAAGAATGGTGGAGAGGGAATTGCAACATGGCCATCCTCTTGCAGGGAGTGTGTGTATTGGGGGTGATTTTTCGCTTTCCTTCTCTTTCTCTCTTTCTTACTCTTTCATTCTCTCTCTCTCTCTCTCTCTCTCTCTCTCTCTGCCTGGAGAGCACATGTGCCCCATAGCAAAACTAAAAATAAAAAAGTTTGCCTGTAACTTGAGAGAGAAATGAAGAGTAGACGTCAAAACTATAATGTGGAGGACCAGCAGGTAACATAGTGGTTAAGTCGCTGGACTCCCACATGGCCGATCACAGTTTGAGTCCTGGACCAAGCAACTTGAAACTCACAATCAATGTGTATGTGTGCCCAAATCCCAAGAGGGGGATGGAGAAGATGGGATTGGATCATGACCATAACCCTTGAGGGATGATTCTCACTTTTCTCTCTGTCCCTCTCTGTGTCTCTAGCAAGTACACGCACCCTTTAGCAAAAATCTCTACAAAAACAAAAAAACAAAACATGGAACCTTCTAAATATTCAGAATAACAAAAGTCAGCAAATATTCTTTATCTACATTTAACCTATTCTTAGAATATTTTATTTTATGAATGAGTCACACCTTTATTTCATGAAGAAAGCTAATATAACTACATTTATTGTGTATGTATCATATGCCTATGTCCTTTAAAACACACTTTAATGCATAATCTCATTTCATCTTTACAATAATCTTGATACCATTATTATCCCAATCTTATGGATAAGGAAACTGAGGTTTGGAATTTCCTCACATATAAAAGAGGAATAGAACAGAGCCCATGTCAAAGTGAAATTTTACATCTAAAAGCACGGGAAACAGTGCCTAGCATACAAAACCACTCAGTAAGTGGTTCCTGTCATTCTTACTATTCACAGTGTTAATGGTGTCTCTTTCAAATTAACATTGTATTAGAAAATACATCTAACAATAAGATTAAATAAATATAGAGGACCAGCAGGTGGCATGTTGGTTAAGGTGCTGGACACTCCCACATGGCCAACCACATTTCGAGTCCCGGACCTGGTGACTTTGCTTTCTCACCTTCTCTCTCTCTCTCTCTCTCTCTCTCTCTCTTTTTTTTTTTTTTTTTTTGTCTCACTTTCCCTCTCTTTCTCTCCCATCTCTCTCTCTCTCTCTCTCTCTCTCTCACTCTCTCTCTCTCTGTGTGTGTGTGTGTGTGTGTGTGTGTGTATTTCTCTCTAGTCAAATTAAATGAATGAATAAATAAAATTAAATAAGTAATTATTTTAAAAAGATTAAATAAATATATAAACCAGCACTGTCCAGCAGAACTCTCTGTGATGACAGAAATGTTTTATCATCTGTACCATCCAATATGGTAGCCACAGTTGGCTAATGAGCGGCTCAGTCACTAGTGGGACCAAGAGCATTATTTAATTTTGACTTACTTCAAATGAAATTTAAATTGCTACCTGTGGCTAATAGCTACTAATGTGTAATATGGCAGTTTTAAATGACCAAAAAACCAATAACTCCACCATCACCATTCTCACACTGGTCCAAGGTCTATAACCTTTCTCGTATGCATTTATTTTGGCTATAGGGCTCATGCACTTGCCCAAAAGAGAGAGACAGAAAGTGAGAAATCATCCCTCAGGGAGGATGGCCATGCCTCAGTCCCTTCTCTTCCATTTTCAAATCAAGATTTTGTGCACGCACAAAACTCACGCTCCCAGCATGAGTTCTAAGTCACTGGGGCCGAGACTCAAACCACAGTCAACTGCATGGGAGTTCAATGATGTAACCATTACACCATCTGCTGGTCCCTACATTTTAGTATTTAAGGTTTCTTGCCATAGGAAAAAAAGATGGAGACAGAGAGAGGGAAAGTGAGAAATCACACACACACACACCCCCAGGGCGGGTATGTCCATGCCACAATCCTTGCTCTTCCATTCCCCTTTCGGGATTTTGGGCACACACGTACATGTGTCAAACAGGATTTTCAATCTGCTGGGTCTGGAACTCAAACCATGGTCAGCCATGGGAGAGTTCAGTGTCTTAACCATCATGCCACTTGCTAGCACCTCTCATATGCATTTTCACATGGTGGCAAATTGTTCATACTCATTTACTTTCTTTTTTAGTTATTTATTTAACTGTATTTATTCATTCATTAATTTTTTTAATTTGACCAGAGAGAAACACAGAGAGAGAGAGAGAGAAAGTGAGAAAGTGAGCCACCAGGTCTGGGACTCGAACCATGGTTGGCCATGTAGGAGTGTCCAGCACTGCTTTCAATAGCTATTATATAAATATGTTTGATTGCAGAGGATTTTGATTCCAGTCACTTGTTCACTAGCCTGTGCCAGTGAACCCACTGCTTTGGACCCACTGCCTAACCCCAAAGACATCAATTTACTCCAACAATTCATTTTGCAGTATTTGTTCAGTGAATTCTTTTGAGTTCTAAGACCATATTCCTATGAAAACAATATCTCCTGGCATTTTATTTTTTAATTCCAGAAAATAATATAAAGCAGGGCATTGAGATGAAATATCCTATTATAAACCACCTCCTGTGAGCTACAATCCTCTAACTTTATATTTTAAAATATGCCCCTTTCAAGCATAAATTGCAGAACATGCAAATATGTTGAATTTGAAGCATATTAAAAACCAAAGCATGTTTTGGGTTTCTGAAGCAGCATTTTACGGAATGTAACATTTTGTCAGGACAGAGGGCATCTGAGCTCAGTACAGAGTACCTTTGACAGTCTGCTTTCCTTGTCTTTGCATTTCCCTAAAGAAAATTATCGAGTGTTTCACCCACTAAAAGAGGGATTTAGATTTCCTTTATCTTGAGGCTATCAGATTATCTGTCTATTCTTCATCTTTCTCCATCCCTATGAAATATATTTTAAAAGAAGCAAAACACAATGATTTCCAAAAGCATGTAAAAACAATACTTTTTCCACCCTTCCTCTATGGAGAAATAAACTACATATGCAGCTGGAAATTTTTAGTCCAAGAACTTCACATGTTTTTGTCTAAGTGTCTTAATCAATTCACTCCCAAGCGGAATATTCAAAACCCACTCCAAACACTAAAAACTTCGATTATCTTTGTAAAAATTGTCCCCTGCCCCATTCACTGCAATAGGATGGCATCATGATGCATTTGCTGGGGTGCCAGTCCTGAGAGCCAGAGAACCTGTGTTCCTAGCTCCAAATACCATCCAGAGGTTCGGTAATTCTCTTGCTAATATGATCCCCCCAAGGCTGTGCAAAGGGAAGATGCTCTCCTTTATTGGCCGTGTGCTGCATTTTACATTGAGCTCCGTTTTTGGAAATGATCATTGTCTCTGTTCTGAGGCGGTATGTCTCAGTGACTTCTCTCAGCACATCAGTGTAGTAATTCAGTCCTGAGAGTACAGAGTCCACTACAGGGCTATTACTCAGCTAGCTCTTCATCTGGGCCTACTTTTATAATTACGTGTTCTGCTACTTTTAACTCTGGCCACAAAATATTATGCGTTCTACTTTATTTTAAATTCTTCCTTAATCTTAGCACTCAGTTTCCAGGTTGGCGATATCCCATATTCTAACTAAGCAAACTCATTACTTAAAACAGAAATGTGGTTTTTTTTTTCCTTTTTTGTGGTTTTTATTTTAAGAATTATTTTTGATTTTTTTAATTTATTCATTCATTTATTTTAATTTGACCAGAGAGAAGCACAGAGAGAGAAAAAGAGGGAAAGCAAGAAAGCAAGCCACCAGGTCCGGGACTCAAACCGTGGTCCGCCATATGGGAGTGTCCAGCACCTTAACCACCATGCCACCCACTGGCCCCAGAAATGTGCTTTTAAAAAGGGTATCTTTCACACCATAATGGTTTGCTTTTATTCATTTGGTCAGTTCCAAAAAGGAAGTTATTGGGCCAGTGGGCTGCACAAAGGGTAAGGCAGCTGGATCCCATGTGGCCGACTCTGCGATTTGAGTCCCAGACCTGGTGGCTTGAAAATTACACTGGGCGTTGGGACCAGCAGTTAGTGTAATGGCTATGTTGCTGGACTCCCACATAGTCAACCGTGGTTCGCATCCTGGACCCGGTGGCTTAAACTCTCGCGGGGCGTGTGTGCGTGCATGCCCAAGATCCCGAGAGGAGAATGAAGGAGAAGGGATTGCGGTGTGGCCATACCCCTGGGGGGTGATTTCTCGCTTTCTCTCTCTCTCTCTCTCTCTCTCTCTCTCTCTCTCTCTCTCTCTCTCTGCCTGGCGAGTGCACACGCCCTATAGCAAAAACTTCTAAAAAAAGAAAGAAAGAAAATTACACTGGGCGCAAGTACATACATGCCCAAAATACCAAGAGGAGAATGGAAGAGAAGGGATTACAGTGTGGCCATCCCCCCGGGGTGTGATTTCCTACTTTTGCTCTCTTTCTCTCTGTTCTCTCTCTCTCTCTGGCAAGCCCACACACCCTATAGCAAATTAAAAAAAAAAAATTTAAGAGGAAGTTATTAAATAAATCGTTGCAATCTAAAGGAATCACTGAAGCAAATCCTGTATGGTCTGAAAAGCTACTGCCATTTGTCACTACTGAATAGACAGTGGTTACGTAGTAAATGATTATTAAGAGAATACGTGGATGACAAACATATCTATTCCATTACAACTTTTTTGCTGGAGGGTGAGTATACTCACTAGAGAGAGATGGGGCGAGTGAGGACTAGGAGAAAGTACCCTCTTAATGGGGCATGGTCATGGCACAATCGTTTCTCTGTTCTCTCTCCTCCTTTCAGGATTTTGAGCATTCATGTGTACCCGGTGTGTGCATTTCAAGCTGCCGAGCCAGGGTTCGAGCTGCATAGTTGACCAAGTGGGATCTGGCTCCTTGAACCGCTAGATCATGGGACTAGCCCTAGTTACTATTAGGTCATCAGGGAAGTCATGACATCTTTTTCATGGTTTTCTGTGCACAAATGCATCATGACTGTCCTGAAAACCCAGTACTTTGTGAAGATGTTCACTATATTATCACACTTTATGTTCACAATCCTATAATTAGCTGAAATGCTGTATCAGTTTTCTGTAAAATGTTGGCCGTTATGGCCTGAAATGGTATTCTAGCATATGGCTGGTTTGGGAATTGAAAAGAAAAAGAAGAGCCTGAATACCAATGCCGGAAGTCTCACTGATGAGACAGTGACACAAATGGATTTAGAGAGGAGCACTAACTGATGCAGGCAGCGTGATGTTAATGGGCTACATCGGCCCTGAAACTGGACTCATTCCCTACGTGACTCAGACAGGCTGCATAGCTTCTGTGAGCTTCAAGCAGTCTCATCTGTATAACAGCAGCAATAGGGTCTTTCATGAGAAGAAACTGAGCTACTTCCTACAAAAGACTTGAAATAGAACAAAATACATTAAAAATGAACTCTTGGGGCCAGCAAGAGGCATAGTGGTTAAGGCCCTGGACTCCCACATGGCCAACTATGGTTCAAGTCCTGGACCCAAGGTTTGAAACTCACACCGTGCACATGTACCTGCAGGCCCAAAATCCTGAGAGGAGAGGAGAGGAGAGGAGAGGAGAGGAGAGGAGAAGGGATTGCAATGTAATCACCTCCGGGGGAGAGAGGGGGGGATTTATTACTTTCTGTCTCTCTATCTCTCTCTGTGTCTCCAGCAAGCTCACACATCCTATTGCAAAAATCTCTCTTAAAAAAAAATTAACTCTTGGTTATTAAGATGATGATGGTTAGATGGGGCCAGCAGGTGGTTGTGGTGGTTAAGGTCTTGGGACTCCCACATTGCCAACTGCTGTTCAAGTCCCAGATCTGGTAGCTTGCCTTCTCACTTTCTCTTTCTCTCACTCTGTCCCTCTCTGGTCAAATTAAAATAAATAAAATAAATAAAGTTAAATTTAAAAATTCAGAAAAGAATTCTTTAAAAAAAGAAAACGATGAAGGCAAGGCAATGATATGGTACAGTAAGAGAAAATAAAGATTGTCCTCGTATTCGTATTTCACTCATTTTTAGCTTCATCCTGGTGGCTAAAGATGGCTTCTTCCAATCTCCATTCCTTAGATCCCAAAGAGGCTTTGCAGGAGGGCTTGTACTGAAAGAGCTGAGTGATGAGTGTTTCTTTGTGCCCTCTTTCAGAAAGTGCAAGTGGTGGTAACTGTTTTGGACTATGACAAGATTGGCAAGAACGATGCCATCGGCAAAGTCTTTGTGGGCTACAACAGCACCGGGGCGGAGCTGCGACATTGGTCAGACATGCTGGCCAACCCCAGGCGACCCATCGCCCAGTGGCATACTCTTCAGGTAGAGGAGGAGGTTGATGCCATGCTGGCCGTCAAGAAGTAAAGGAGAGAAGCCTTTCTGCATTTGCCCACATAGTGCTCTTTAGCCAGTATCTGTAAATACCTCAGTAATATGGGTCCTTTCATTTTTCCAGCCATGCATTCCTGAAACAATTCAGTGGTACTTCAAATCCTGTTTTAATTTGCACAAATTTAAGTGTAGAGAGTACCTAAGCCCTTCATCATACAACTGCCCTCCAAATCTACTCTTCTTTTAAGCAATATGATGTGTAGATAGAGCATGACTGAAATGATTTATTGTATCACACCGTTGTATATACCAGTATGCTAAAGATTTATTTCTAGTTTGTGTATTTGTATGTTGTAAGCGTTTCCTAATCTGTGTATATCTAGATGTTTTTAATAAGATGTTCTATTTTAAACTATGTAAATTGACTGAGATATAGGAGAGCTGATAATATATTATATGGTAAACATAGTATCGTCTGCATTCCAGCAAAAATCTCTACTGTGAGGCACTAGTGCAGTTAAACTGACATCTTAAAGGACAACTTAAACCTGAGCTTGCTAACGAATTCTCTGAGCACCAAGATATGCTTACACCACGTATTCGGTGGGTGAATCCAATGTTGTAGAATTCCTTCACAGGCAAAACAGCATGATCTGAGCTGCATCAGGGCTGACTTTAAGGAAGTATAGCCACAAGCCAGAGTAGCACCCGTCTGTACCTATCTACAGAGCTAACTCATGGCTTCACTCCTACACTTGAGGAAGCAACTGGACAGGAAAGAACAGGTTCGTATCACTGCGTATAGAGCAACAGCATGATGGTGTGTGTGAGTGTGCATGCGTGTGTGTGTGTGTATGTGTGTGTGCACATTTGTTTGGGGTTGAGGAATGAGGAGTAGCAGCTGAGGTAAGAAGTCAGCATTTCTGAGATATTGCCTATTTCAAAAGAAAAAAGTAGCTCTTCATTACCACCTTTATACAAAACGTGCGTCCTGTGGATTCTGTTCTAAATTTCACACCTATGATAATTCCAGAAGGTTTGCACATTTGACTTTGTAACAAAATATTTTACTATACAATACCAGATTAGATGGAATGCAGAATATTTTTATCACCGCAATCTGTGCTTAATACACAAAATTACTTTGTGGTAAACAGACAGTATTGTAATCCCATCAAAAGATGATCTAAAGAAAACAATTAGCCATAGTTCTGAATGCACTTCAATTAAGCCAAAACAGACAGCTAGTGATCTTTTTATATGCTCTTTTTACTTAAATAAGTTTTAATTTGTCCTTTAAAAAAGGTGAAACAAAACCAAGAACAAGTTCTAGAACTGAAGCAACCTCTTCTGTATACTAGATGCTTGATGTAGGAGGAGTTTTTAAATGTTTTCAATGTTATTACGTAGTAAATGGCACTATTACGACGCTACTAGTCATTCCATAAGAGTCTTACAGGACTGCTCTTTGTAACACTGTGACTGCCGTGTGTGCTTAGACACGTAGTTTCCTCAGTGGATAGCACTCGATTTATTCCATAGTGATCTTGTAACAATACTGCCATTCCCTTCTACTGCACTGCCCAAGGTGTGTGTAGCACAAACAGTTCTCATTACAAAGGACCAATTCAGAACTGAAAAGCTATGCATAGGACAAGGAAGATACATAGAATCGGGTGGAACACACAGCGTTTGTCAAGCACTGTGCACTATTTCATATTTCTCTCTACTAGAATAGACAACCACTTTGTGGAAGGGCCGCCTCCCACTGCGTCTGGTCTTTACTCACGTCTGTGAACTACTTTAACATCCAGGCCACAGACAGCAGTGATGCTCCGAAGTGAAAGTTGATCTTCACCGGTATCAAAACAAAATGGAGGACAACTAGGCGTAGGCCTCATGTTCAGACTTGAGGAGATCCTGCCAAGTTTTAAAAATAAGAATGGAAAAGGGCTGATGGTAGACTTGGAACGTGGGGTTGGCTGTTTCCCAACAAAGTAGAATTCTTACCATTATTCTTTCCTCATCAAAAAAAGGTGAGCCCTCCCACCTCCCAGCCTAGTCATAGGAAAGTCCTTAGAACTACGACAGACACAAAGAACAAATGAAAAATAACATCTCCCTCTTCTGTCAATGGTCTATACTTTTAAAGAAATAGAGAGACCCTAAAATGCACGAGTCTTGCGAGATTAAATATTGGTTTAACAAAAACTGCAAATGAAATTTTTTCTAATATAAAGGACCACACGCTATCAAAAAGAGGGAGTCAATTGACTTTTTTAAATTCCTTAAATGACAGGAGCTGATCCTTAATTTTGCTATATTCAGCTTTAAGTTGTTCACACTGAAACAACACTTTCAAACAAGCAGGTTCAAGCTGCCTAATACACATTATTTCTTGCATTAAAGAACTACTAATGCATTCTCTTGCAACACTGCCAGACATGGGATTGTCACCATAGAATTAGTTGGTACTATGCCACCTTCACAAGTCAGCGACCGAACCTGCTTCAAGATCCATTCTCAGATAAGCCACATGTACCTTTCTGACAAAGCTGTGTAAAGTATTAGAAACTGATGCTCTAGAAAGATCCTAGTTGCCTTTGTGTATATTTACTGCCTGCTTGAGTGTTTCTATGTGTGGGTTTTCTCTGTATCTTGTAGAAATGTTGGGGTGTTTTCTTCTGCCATATGGCTCGTGGCCCGCGAGCCAACTACTTTAGCTGTATTTTACCTTCATTTTTGATGAGGTGGTTTAAATTTTGTTTCACTTTGTGTAGTGAATTCCACAGTAGTTTTCTGATTGTTGTTAAAAATGACTTAACATATTACACGGATATTCAATAAAAATGTTTTATTTCCTGTTGATGTTGCTGCCTTTCAACTCTTTCTTTTTTAATATTTATTCAATTTTATTAATTATTATTCTTTTTAACTTGACCAGAGAGAGACATGGAGAGAGAAAGAGAGGGAATGTGAGAAAGCAAGCCACCAAATCCAGGAGTCAAACCGTAGTCAGCCATGTGGGACTCTGGCACCTCAACCACCACGCCACCTGCTGGCCGCCGCAACTCTTTTTCTTACCTGATTCTGGTAGTCAGTCAGCAGCCTACGGATTTGGGGGGCTGAGAACTGATAGAGGTAGTGGCAGCTGCATAGAAGCTCTGAGTCACATCTATAAACAGAGTGGCTGATGAGAAGATGGTGCCCCCAGGAATATTTGGCCCCAACTGCCAGTGTTTCTGGGCAATCTCATTCTCAACATGTGTTTCTCTGTTCTTGTTTATGATCAGTTCATCTGGCTCACACTTTCAGGCATGTCTGCTTTGCCCAAAATGTGTCCCCCAGTGTTTTCACTCCAAACCCTAAGCCACATAACTTCTCCAAATTGGGACTGAACGCAGAATTGTATTGGGTCATCAGAAAAGTCAGGATGCATTTATTTTTTTAAAGGGTTTTGCTATAGGGCGCATACACTCGCCAGACAGACAGAGAGAGACAGAGAGTCAGAAAGCGAGAAATCACCCCCCAGGGGGCATGGCCACTCCACGATCCCTTCTCCTCCATTCTCCTCTCGGGATCTTGGGCACGCATGCACACGCGCACAGCGTGAGTTTAAACCACCAGGTCCAGGACGTGAACCGCAGTCAACTATGTGGGAGTCCCGCGACATAGCCATTACGCTCACTGCTGGTCCCAGTCAGGATGCATTTTTGCAGAGAAAAGCATAGCACAATATGTCATGGCTTTTCCGACAACCCAGTATTCACCCTGTTTTCAAAGGGCACGTGACATATTAAAGTCCCCGCCTGTTATAATTGCTAGGAGGAATCAGTAAACACCATTCCTCCACTAAATTCAACAGTTTCCAGCTTTTTACAGTGTACCACGCTTTTCCTGATGCTGGAGCCTGTCGTCTCGAGCAGATACGGAAATACAAGACCAGTGCACCTGATGTATCTTTAAAAGTAAGCACTTCAGGGCCCCTGAGAACTTACTCTAGACCAGTTAGAGCAGACACCACAGGGTGTCACCCTGATACCCCTTCAAAATCGAGGCTCCCATCCTGCAGCTGCCCGCCATGTTGCCAGCTGACTGCTGTGTCCCTCTGCCCTCTACTGAAGGAAACTGCCTCACCTAACTCATGCATCCCTCCCGGGGAGTAGCCTGCATTCAAAGACTTATTCAAGAGTTCCCTGAAGTGCTAGGTTAGTTGAAGTTGCTTTTGCAATTGCATTGCAGTTCAATTTCTCTGACTGGCCAGTGGATTTTCCTCACTCCTTTACAAATTTTGTTGCCAAGATGACTCCCCGATGTAACCCACGCATGTATAGCTTCATCAGAATCTGTATCCAAGGGTCCCCCCCTCCTACAACACATTTTTTTGTTTTTGAAAGATTTTTGCTATAAGGTACATGTACTCACCAGAGAGACAGAAAGTGAGAAATCACACCTAGAGGGGATGGCCACACCACAGTCCCTTCCCCTTTATTCTCCTCTCAGGGTTTTGAGCATGCACACACATGTGCCCAGCATGAGTTCCAAGCCACCGGGTCCAGCACTCAAACCATCATGGGCCATGTGAGAGTCCAGCACCATAATCACTATGCCACCTGCTGGCTCCTACAACACTTTCTTTTTAGGAGATGTCAAGAAGAATTTGGTAGAGAAGATGATAACAGCAAAGTACTGAAAGAACTGGTAGGAATTACCCATCTCAGCGTGGGCAAGTCTCCTGGAACATTTATGTCGTTTGACAAAGTTATCCATGATAAAGTCTTTAACAGCTGACTATGTCCTACATCCCTCAACCCTCTCTGCTAGCCACTGCCAAATAAGGATGGAGACTAAGCCAAACTGCTTAAACAGCCAAAAGAATGACCATGCAAGTTCTGAGCACTGCAAAGGAGTAGTTGGCAAATGGTTCTACATGTGACTTTAGAAAACAAAATGCATGACACATTAGGGGGAACCAGAAAAAAAATTAGAATGCTAGAAACAATTGTTTACTTCTAATTCTTAAGGATTCTACATTTCTTAAAACACTGTTTGTTAAGAGAAATTTTTGCTACAGGCCTCATGCACTCACCAGAGAAACAGAGAGAGAGAAAATGAGAAATCACCCCCCCCCCATGGGGGATGCCCACACCATAATCCTTTCTCTTTCATTCTCTTAGGATTTGGGGCATGCATGCACACACACACACACACACACACACACACACACACATACACACGGTGTGTTACAAGCCTCCAGGTCCAGGAATTGAACTACGATCAGCCATGTGGGAGTCCAGCTCCTTAATCACTATGCCACCTCCTGGCCCCCTAAAACACTTTTGAAATTAAGTCCAAAATTATTTAGAGACTATGTCTTTATTATGAAAAAAATTCATCTCATCCTTTCTTTCAATGTGTGTTAGTCCAAAAGATTTGAAAGTCTAAGACACTTAGGATATTTTTTATGTGTGTTAGGGAATCAAAACCACTTCAGGTATTTCAAAGAGGACTTTAATATAAGACTTTGGTCACATAAGGAGAGCCGAGAAGGTCCAGACAGCAGCTAATTCAGAGAGTAGGAGACTACACCTAAGGCTGCGAGAAGGAAATAGGCCCTAAAACCCCAGACTGAAGAGAAGGAGCTACTACCCTGGGGAAGGAACCACGAAGGCTTAAGAGTCCTTGAACCAAGAAAGGGGCTCCACACTGCAGATGCTGGAACTGCCAGAAGATTCTCTTCCAGTGGGTGCTCGCTATTGCTAGAGGGAAGCAGACAGAAGCTGGAAGCAAGAAGGTGATCCCTTCTCTTTTTTTCCTACCTGCCAGTTCACCCAGTGCCTTCCACTGGCAGCTGGTAAGAAACTCGAGGAAAAACAGCCTGCAGAAACCGAGACCCTGCCCCAGTACATATGGGAGCACAGCCAGGTGGGAAGAAGGCTGAGAACAGCAAATGACCAGCCCTTTAGGAAACCTTATACCAGCTCTGTAAGCTTTGTGTTCTTGTTTCTTTCTCTAAGGTCAGGTGTTCCGTTCTGAGCCTCAAGTCATCCCGCACCTGATGAATGCATAGAAATCACATTCTATTTATGCAGAGTTTGCCCTTACAGATTTGAAAATGCCCACCATGACTGCAGTTACCCATTCTTACAACTCATCTTTATTGCACAGGACTCTTCGATGTTTAGAACTGATTTAAGCCGCACACAAATCTTTCCTATAAAACAGTCAAATGGTGATTTTGGAATATAAAGGTAAAAAGAAAAGCAGGAAAATAAAAATGAGAAATAGCTTGGTAGTAAATGTACAAAGAAATGTTCCAAAGCATGCAGAGGAATAATCATGCACGAGGCGCCGTCAAGAGAGACCGGTCATAAGCACACCACGCACACCCACCCGTGATTTGTAAGCCCAGCTCTGAGGCTGGCTGTAAGTTACTTGCATTTCAAAACCCGCATTTGGGCCACACTGATTTCTTCACCCTGCCTGACCAATGGACAGCCCTCCTCTCCGTACAAAGTCTCTACACTCATCCTTCTTCTCTGACAGCAGCCATCCTGCCAGCCAAGCCTTCTCCCTTTGCAAATATGCTTGCCCCCGCCAGCGTACCCACAAGGTTAAAAAACATTTTATACAGAGTGAGTCAGGACTCACTTCCTTTTCAGCTGCCCACTTTCCTTCTGTCAAGTTTCTACCTCTTCTGGACTGGGAGCAAAGCAAAGGGTTCATACCCTTTATAGTGAAGATTGCTAGAGTTACAAGTGGAAGACAGCCAATTGAAACTGGATTAAGTGGGGGAGAGAAGAGGGAAGGGAGTGGGAGGGCGAAAGAGAACAATTGGCTTCCCTGAGCAGGAAGTTCAAGGAGTGATCACATTCGGGACAGCCAATCAAGGGTCTCACATAATGCCATCATTTCCTCCCTTTTTCTCTCCCTCCCCCACTTTCTTCCCCTCCCTGATTCTTGCTAGACTCAGGATCGATTTCATGAGGCAACACAGAGGGCCGCTAGCTCTCCAAACTTAGATTCATTTAGGGCAACATGCTTGCAGAGAGGGCTCCTTTCACAATCTCGTCATCAAAATTG